TTTGGGTTATCCACAAGATTGAGGAGGTTCAGAGATTTCCCATCTACTTCCTGATCCATGTAGACATACTTTCCTCCATTAATAACATCATTCACCAAAGTTCTACATTTTTTTACCTAGGATAAATCTTTGACAAATCATAATCATCTGAAGTCCCCAGTTTACCCTACAGTTCACTTTTGATGTTGTACATTCTACGGGTATGGACAAAAGTTTACTAGAATATATCCATCATTATAATATCATGCAGACTATTTTCACAGCCCTAAAAATCCCTGTGCTTTGCCTATTCATGTCTCTTCCACGGCCCCCACCCAACCCCTGGCAAACACTGATCTTTTCATCTGTCTCCATAACTTTGCATTTTCAAGAATGACATATACTTGCAATCATACAGTTTATCGCCTTTTCAGATAGGCTTCTTTCACATCGTATATGCATTGAAGTTTCCTCCTTGTCTTTTTATGGCTTGATAGCTCATTTCTTTTATGGTTGAATAATATTCCATTGTCTGGATGTACCACAGTTTGTCCATTCACCTGCTGAAGCACATCTTAGTTGCTTTCAAATTTGGGCAATTATCAATAAAGCTACTGTATTAATAAAGGTTTTTGTGTGGACACAAATTTTCAACTCCTTTGGATAAATACCAAGGAGCACAATTGCTGGATCTTATGGTAAGCATACGTTTAATTTAGTATCAACTACCAAACTGTTCCAATCTATTTTATCAATCACTTCTTTCAAGGATCAAGGCTTTGGTATTGTCTCTAAAAAGCCATCACCATATCCAAGGTCATCTAGGATTTCTCCTATGTTATCCTCTAGGAGTTTTATAGTTTTGCAATTTACATTTAAGCCAATGATCCATTCTGAGTTAATTTTTGGGAGGGGTGTAAAGTCTGTGTCTCGATTAACTTTTTTGCACGTAGATGTTCAGTTGTTTGAGCGCCATTTCTTGAGAAAACTCTCTTTGCTCCATTGTATAGCCTTTGCTGCTTCAGAACAGTCACCTATATTGATGGAGGTCTACTTTTGGGCTCTCTGTTCTGTTTCATTCATCTCCTTGTCCATTTTTTCACTAATACTACAGCCTTGAATGACCCCTTGCTTTTGGACAAGAGCTCCAAGAAAATTGAATGAAAACGAAAGTCTTTGGACAAATGGCACTGTGACAAATAGATAGCCACATGCGAAAGTATAACTTTGTACCCATAATTTTCACCAGATACAAAAATTAACTCAAACTGTATCAAAGATTTAAATGCAGGTACTAATGCTATCAAACTCTTAGAAGAGACCCTAGGTGTAAATCTTCATGAGTGTGCATTAGGCAGCAATTTCTGTATACGACACCAAAGGCACAAGCCACAAAGAAAAAAATACATAAGTTGGAACTTATTACATTTAAAAAAATTTTTGTGTCAAGGGACACTGTCAAGAAAGTAACACAGACAACCTAAAAACAGGAGAAAACATTTGCTAGTGAGGGGTCTAATAGACGCCAGGCATCCAGGTTACAGAAAGAACACTGCCAACTCAAAACAACAAAGATAAAGAATGTAATTAAAAAACAGGCAAAGGATTTAAATAGACATTTCCCCAGAGAAGATGTAGAAATGGCCAAGAAGCACATGAAAAGGTGTGAAACTTTGTTCATCATAAGGGGAATGCATATCAAACCACAATGGAGTACTAGTTCACACCCTCTAGGGTGAATATAACTTTTTACCATGACAACTTCTGAATCTGGGTGAGAATATGGAGGAACTGGAACCCTCATACAGTCCTGGTGGAAATGTAAGATGGTACACTCATTATGGAAAGCCTTTTGGCATCTCCTCATAAAAAGTGAAAGACAGAGTTACCTTAGAAATTTCCCGTGCTAGATATTTATCCTTGAGAACTGAAAATATATGGTCACATAAAAACTGGTGCAAGAATGTTCACAGTTGCATTATTGATAATAGCCAATATGTAGATAAAATCTAAATGTCTGTCAACTGATCAACAGAGAAACAATAGGTGCTATATGCATACATGGGATATTATTCAGTTGTGAAAAGGAAAAAGTACTAAACATGCTACAACAGGGATGAACCTTGAAACCTTGTTCTAAATGAATGAAGTCATTCACCACCGACCACAAACCACTCATATAGATCAATGCTGATGTAGCTATATCTATATATACTTCCTTTCATGTGAAAGACATATACATATCCTATGATTCCATTTACATGAAATGCCCAGAAGAGGCAAATCCACAGAGAAAAGTAGTTTACTGGTGGCCAGGGATTGCCGGGGAATTGGGAAGAAGTGTTGTTTTGTTTGTTTTTGTTTTTGGAATGGGAGAGATGATGGAAATGTTCTGAAATTAGATAGTGGCGATGGTTGTACAACATTGTGAAGAAATCCTTACTACAAGTACATCATTGTGTGCTTTAAAATGACAAATTTTAAGTTTTATGAATTTTATCTCAATTAAAAACACCCTGTTTTTCTTATCAAATGTCAGATTTTAAGTATTGTTAACTTTCCTGTGTCTCACTTTCCTTATAGCTGAAATTTGGAGCTGATGTCTATCCAACAAGATTCTTCTAAGAACTAAGTTCCATAACACATGGGATGTGAGAGGCTGACTCACAAAGCTTGTGTGGAAATAGTCGTGCAGTGAGGTGGATCCCTATTCATGAATGGATACGAACTTCCCCCAGTCCACTGTTCGTTCCTAGAGGACGGTTACGACATTTGCTTTTGCTGACCACCTCTTCTCTATCAGAATACAGTCCTCAAAGCATAGTAGGGTATCTTGTTAATAATTTGACATAAAAGTAAGAAGAAAAAATTTAAATACATTTTAAAAGGTAAAAAGAATACATGTATGTGAATTTGTCAATATTCACTTAATAATGTTTTTTATATGGGTTCTCTGTAATGAAAATGGCCATGAAAGTGTGTGCATTTTTATCATGTGGCTCTAAAAATGTACATCGAATGAATACTTTCATCAAGAATTAATATTAAGGAAGGTAAACGAATGAGTACCTCCAACATACATCACTCTTTTAGAGGTGAAATGTTCAGTGAAAAGAAGAGCAAGCCTGATATCATATATGGAGCAGATTGATACCTCTCTTCCAGTAGTCAGTCTACATTTCTGCCGCTAGAATCATGCCTTAAATGAACATTTGGCCACCCAAGTAAAACCGCCCTGTCCTTGGCTGAGAGATGGAGAGAAATGGAGACGCTTAGGATTTGGACCACTAATGAAAATCCTAGATTGATGAAGGCAGAGTTGCCTGGCATCCCAGGGTTAGTAACCTATCTTTGAACATATTTGTGAGAGATAAAGTAATATAACTTCTTCTCCCAAACCTCAGATGCCATACAATATCATTGGATGGGCTCTGCAATTCATTCAATTATACACATGTCCTATATTTTAGAATTGAAGTCTATATTGCCTAACCTTTGGGATCACAGATCGACCTGGAGTACTTGTTAGAAGTCAAGCTCCCAGATCTCTCTCCTAGAGGTTTTGATTCTTTAGCTAAAGAAGAGCTCAAGTGTCTGTACTGTTAATAAACATCGAAGTAATGTATTAGGTGTTCACCTTTGAAAATATGTCGTTATCATAGTTACCAGAATTATTAGTGTGTTTTAACCCACTAACCAACGAATGAAAAGAAATGGAATTTTAACAAAGATACTGTTATTTAACTTTTATTGATTTAAATATTTATGATTTTAAGTTACATTAGGCTTTATATTATCAACTACAATTAAGACGGTTTTTCAACTGCCACTGATAATTCAACATTGAGGATAAAAATCTTTGAATCACAGATTCTTAGAATTAGAAAAATTCTTCAACATCCTACATTTCATCTTGTATGCCACAGCAGGCTTTGTGTGGTCATCTGCGAATTTAAAGCTCTGACTGAGAAGACTCTAATTGCTTGTAGAATCCACTGCAAAATAGCATTGCAAGAAAAGGCATAGGAAGGTGTAGCTCTGAGCTAAGAACATTGACCGAAAAACAGAAAATCCAATTTTCCACCAGACTTTCTGTAAGGAAATAAAAAGAGAAAGGAAAGGAAATTATTAAAAGGACATTTAAAATTGCCTCTGTATTGCACTGAGAGCTTCTCACTGAGGAGGCTTTGAACCTAGAAGAAGAGAGGCTGTGCTCCACGGCCACAAGCAGCTGGGCCCTGCCTGCTCCCCAGACCTGCACACGTCCTCCCCTGACCTGGGCTCCATGACTCTCCCTACTTGCTCATTCCTGATTCGTTCTTGGAACCCGCCCCGACCTAAGAGAGGAGAGGACCAGAACTTGTCTTAGAGGTCCTCTAGAAGTAGAAGACAGGTAGAGGATTAAATGAGAGGAAACACCTGTGAGAGAACATGGGCTGGCACAAAGGTTGGCCAAAACTGTAGACTGCAGACTCCTTTAGAGTGAAGGACACAGGAAGGGAGGTCAGGTGGAAGTGTCCTAGAATGCCCTGCTCTCTCAGGAAGGTTAGGAGTCTGTCATGGAGTTCAGGAGCCCAAGTGGACCAGCAGAGGAGTCCCTTCCAGCAGAAATGGGCCCATTGTGATGGATTTCAGAGTTCTGTAGTCAGTAAGGTTTTTGCTCAGTCACGTTCCCTGTAGCTTGAACCTACATCATGGAGGTTATCACTTCGCATCTGGACTTTGGAATTACCTTATATTGGTCATTAGACTGCCTTCTATAAGTCATAATAATTAAGTTAAGTTAATTGGTTTATACATTTGCATAATATCCCGTAGAGTTATGATGAGAGGTCAAATACAAAAGTAATTTTAGAAATGAGAACTTAAGTGATAGGTTCAAGGGATAGGTATTGTGGCTTTTACAGAGAGAATAATTTTCCAAAGATAGTGAGCCTACATTATCAGAAATATGGATTGTCCTATCATTTTGTGATGGTTTTTTCACTATTTTGGAGGAGCCAATATTTAATTTTGCGATCTTACAATTTTTGCTGGCAGAAAGTGCATATGTTGTGATAAGTGATGTCATCGGTTGCACAGACTGGATTCCACGTATTGGTGCAATGTAAAACGTCTTTATATATGTCACAGTTTGGTGGCTAAACATAAGAAGACAACATAAAATTTATCAGATAATAAACCATTTGAACAAAATTTTCTTTGTTCTTCATTCAAAATGTCATACATCAATAATGAATAAATATATTCCATGTTGAGTTTTGAAAGTAAACATCAAGGTATCCACAACCCATTTAGACATAAAATACTATTGATATATTTTTACAAACTCAATGTTATTTTTTAAAAATATATAAATGGCAGAATGCATTTTTATAATTTAGCCACTCTGCCCCCATGTATCCTCACACCTGGATGAGATTTCTCCCATTATTTCATACCACAAGAAATCCTAAAAGTGAGTTTTTTATCATTCTCTTGTCTTTCTCAATAGTTTAAGTACTAGGTACTCTTATTTCAGATTATCAATGTATATGTATTTATTCATATATATGAGTGTTTGTACATGTGCATATAATCATATAGATATACATGTAAGGTGTTTAGTGATAGTAGTGCTGGGAATTTACGTAAATGAACAATATTGTTTGTATTCTTACATGACCTGCTTTTAAACGTCTTTGTAGCCTTTATCTATTCAAGCGTTTAGAACTATAGCTCATTTATTTCACCCCTATGTCGTATTCCACTCCATGAATGTATGAAAATTATTGTTTTGTCCACTTGTAATTGGAACATTTTTTAATCTTCTTGTTTTTCTAGGATAAACAATTCTACTCTAAACACTCCGTAACCCATATCCAATGCTTGTATTTAACAAGATTTATGCCTGATATTGGAATTTTTGAATAATGGGATATTTTTACCTTGTCTATAATGCCTAATTTATTTTTTCGGAAAGATTAGCCCTGAGTTAACATATGCCACCAATCCTCATCTTTTGGCTGAGGAAGATCGGCCCCAAGGTAACATCCATGCCCATCCTCCTCTACTTGTTATGTGGGATGCCTGCCACAGGATGGCTTGATAAGCATAGTGTAGGTCCCTGCCTGGGATCAGAACTGGTGAACTGCGGGCACTGAAGCAAAGCACGCGAACATAACTGCTATGCACCAGGTCAGCCCCCAGATGATTTTATATAGGTGGCAAGATTCTATTTCTTGAACTCAATATAATAATAAAAGAGATTTTTTTTGTTATTTCTTGCTTTTAGTTTTTGAAGGATCATTCTGTTGTACATATTGTCGGATGACATTTGCTGTTAAAACTTACAATAAAAAAAAATTACTAGTTTTACCTTTTTCAATTCCCACATTAATCAGTATTAACTTACTCTCTTATTCCCCATTGATGGTGGCTGTGAAAGACCAGTTTCTGCAACCAAAACACAAAAGAAAAATTAAGACCAAGAAAATGAGGGAAATCTATCAGGGTATCAGCCAAAAGTATCCAAATATTTTTAGTAGCAAGACACAAGGGAAATTACCTATGCAAGACCCTGCAAGAAATGAGGTGAGCTTTTGCCGTGGTATCAAAACAATTAGTTCACAATTAACTCCAAATCTGGAAACATAATTCCCAATTAACCTCACTCTTTGAAAAACAATTTTGTATACTGTTTAGTAATCACCAAACCCCGCTTTTTTTCTTCCATTTTATAGATGAGACATCCTAGTCAGTGATGATAATGCCTTGCTTAACACCATTCATTATCCCTTGCACAAAGTCACTTAACATGACGAAATTAACTACTATTTAATTAATTAGTGCTCAGATCTGAGATCAGGGATCTATCCAATACCTTACAGCTACTTTACTCTGAAATTCATGGGCCACCTTATGCTTTAAAGAAGGTAAGGTGTCAGCAGAGGGAGGGATGAGTTCTCGCCTCACACGAAGCCTGGACTCTACTCAGAGCTGTCAAACAACAAAGCAGATTGTCAAGGAAGCCCTGATCCAGAAGACATCATTACTCCCCACACGTTGCTCTCAGCAGTCATGGAATCTGACCTCCAAAAACTCTTCACCTCTAAAGACAGGCAAATGTCTTTCATTGTAGATGGGGAAAAAAGCAAAGTTCCACTGTTCATGCTAACCTACATCTCTGTCTCCAGTCCTCTAAGGCAGGAAAGGAGAAAAAGCTACCACTGATGCAATTTATTTTTTTATTTTTTTTTTTTTAAGATTTTATTTTATTTTTTCTCCCCAAAGCCCCCCAGTGCACAGTTGTATATTCTTCGTTGTGGGTCCTTGTAGTTGTGGCATGTGGGACGCTGCCTCAGCGTGGTCTGATGAGCAGTGCCATGTCCGCGCCCAGGATTCGAACTGACGAAACACTGGGCCGCCTGCAGCGGAGTGCGCGAACTTAACCACTCGGCCACGGGGCCAGCCCCTCCACTGATGCAATTTTTAAAAGGGTATTTGTAAACCTACCCTGTTTCATTTAGCCAACTTAAGTATTACAAACGCAATAAAACCAGCTCCTCCATTCCAAGACCTTAGCAGTTGTTTCCTGAATTTTCTAAGATATGAGAAATGCTTCATCCAGGAATGAAAAACTTACTCACCAGAATGCAGAGGAAACAGCAAGGCAATGACAAAAATAGCTTTCATCCATGATGAGAAGAAAGACATTTTGTTAAGTCTGTAGAAGAAACCCATAGGACTGTTCGTAACACATGGCACAGGGACAAATGACCCGTTTCCCAATGAAAGTTTCTGACGGGTGAGGGAACCGCTCTACTCCGCTAGAGTCCTAATTATAGTGGACTATCCCCTTTTTTCTTCCTCCAACTCACAATGAACAAGACATGCGTGTGAACAGAAGGCCTCATAGAGATTCGAGAGAAACACTAGGACAAGTCCTCCATGCACAGCTGAGAAGGAGCCATTTGCTCTCCCAAGCCTTTGGCTCAGCCAACAGGGAGCCTGGCTGCATTTAAGGAAACATGCACTTGGGAATCTCAGTTTTTCCCCAGAAAACACAAACAGTTCTTTCAGGAAGGACTCAGTTGCAGCTGTCCTCACAGCAATGCTCTTCACCAGGGCTCCCTCCATAGGGTCCCCGCCGGACCTACCTGAAACAGAGAAGGCCGTGGGGAGCGAGGCCGACACCTCCACAGACCGTGCCGAGCTTGTTCACCTCTTCTTCCCAACCACGGCCACCCAGCTGACGCGCTTCCTTTATTGACCTGTTGGTGAAGACCTCTCTGGGGGTGAGACAGATGGCTCCCGGCAGATAAGACGCTGAGGTATTCTGTGTTCTTCCTGGAGGCTGTAAAGGAACTCGTGAGAGAGGCCTCATGAGGATTTCTCAGTAGATATTCCCTCTGGAGGAGATTTGGGACAGTTTGATCTGATGTACCCAGAAGTATGGGGAAGGGAGGAGGGAAGATCAGTGTTCTGAAACCCTTAGAGATGAGATATGAAATCTTCCTAAGCTACCGAATAGGGAGGAAAGGAGAATCAAAACAGGAAAGAAGAGAATGAGTTTTGGGAACAGTGATTAGACACGTACTAGACCCTTAGCAGCTGGCAACCCTGGAAGCCCATTAGGCTCAATTGGAGATTTGATTTTGATTAACTTTTCATTTTGAGATAACTGGTGTGTGGGGGCATTAGCCAACATGTCCCTTTAACGGCCATGTGTCCTTGAGGCTTCTTATCTGGGCTACATGCCAAGACTGACAATGATAGCAGTCCTGGGCTTGGCTGACCCAGCTGCTTTCTCCTGGGATAATAGGCACACACACCCTCAAGGTCTCCAGGAGGGGTGGAGGGGAGCTCTGGTCCTTGGAGTGCAGGTCATACAGGGATGACCCCCTCGGCAAGCTTGCAGCCTTTATTCCTCTGCCTACTTGAGCAAACTTCTCTCAGGGGACAGTAGTGGGTACACATTGCTATCCGGCTGGCCACCACTGGACCTTCCCTGTAAGTAACTCCCAATAAACCCATACGTCTTGTTCACTGACTCTGGGTCTTTCTTTTGGTCTCTCAGCAACCTATCCTACACTGCTCACCCAGCTGGGCATGTGGCGGGACACTGGAGACTCTCATCAATCTGTAAGTACTAATGCACAGAGTTCTCACGTCCCTTTCACCAGTTTCCCCCGATGAGAACACCTTGTAAAACAATGGCACAATTTCACAACCAGGAATGTTCAAAAAGCTCCCAGATGAGTGTTGGGGCCGCTGGCTTTGGGAAACTGGGCTAGAGGACAGCTTGTGAATACTAAGAAGAGGAGAGAAAGAAGGCTCAGGTGTGAAATTGAGACCAGAAGGGACATGGCCCTAAATTGTTGGTTGAATAATTGGACCTTTACCTCAAAGTAAAGCGGGAGACCCTGTAGGGTTTGAGTGAGAGGAGATTTCATCAGAGCTGTTTAGCTGATCTGCTCCATAGCCTGACTCAGCGCAAAGAGCATTGGCAGACGAAAGTCCGGAATTCAAATCCCATCCACCACCAGGCAGCCTGGACTCCAGATTCAGACTTTGGAATACTCAAGTAACTATGTTTAACCATGACAATAACAACTTCTGTCGCCTAGATTTCTCATAAATATTAGGGATAAAATATTAAAACACTCTGCACCTAAGTTGTCTGTTAGACACATATTTGTCTCCGTAATCTAACTTGCCTTCTTTATCAGTGAAGAAAGCCAAGATTTAGACAAGAACCTTTGAGTCTAGCACTGTTTCATGACAATTTACTGGAAGGATACCAATTGTGAGAAGTGCAAAAAATTTTCCTTTATTATGCTAAAGTGACTGGTGTACTTCCGCTGGCTCCTTGACATATTTATGTAGACACGGTCCGAGACAGTTGTGCAGGCCAATCCTTCTGCCACATGTCATTGGAGGGACAATTCAACTGAAGCTTAGAGTTGAAGTTATTGTGACGTCCTTATGTCCCACGCCCTGGACTTTTTCTCTTGTCTGTGTTCATCGGCAGAGATTAAGAGCAGAAGACACTGCCTGTGATGAACAACAGGCCACAAGATTTTAAAATGAACCACTAAAGGGAATGTTAGACGTATGCATTATTTGATGCACATCTATCTTTCCTGAAGATGTTTAATGGCCCAAATATTTATATATGCATAAATGTACAGATATTTATTATACATCTATACTAAAATCACACACAAATATACATATGTATATATATAGATATATGCAGGTATGTATATATACGTGTGCCTACCTGTGTGTGTATAGATGTATGCATCTATATCTCTATACATGTTTCTATAGATGCATATATGTATTCACAAAAATACGTAATAACAAATATTTTATATGCATTTAAATATTAACATTATATATACACATATATACATAGTACATAGATATATATAGATATACACGTATATCTATGTATATCTCTCTATAAATTGTCTATGTGAGCTCCATTTGTCAAAACAAGAGTCCTTATAAAAGAGAGACAGTAGGAGATTTGATACAGACACAGACAGAAGATGGGATGGAGAGAGATTTGAGGATGCTGGCCTTAAAGGTGATAGAAGATAGATGATAGATAGACAGATAGATACATAGATAGATAGAAAGAGAGATAGAAGAATAAAATCAAAATATTTCCGATGACTAGCTTGTTTCATTTAACAATCAATGAAATATCTTCATAGAAGTATATACAAAGACATAATTCCTTTTAAAGGAATACAAGGTCGATTATAAGATGTTCCAAATTCTTTCCAATCTTAAGCTCCCTTGATTTCAGTTTTTTGGTTTTTTTGTGAGGAAGGTTAGCCCTGAGCTAACATCCGTGCCCATCTTCCTCTATTCTTTGTGTGGGACACGGGCCACAGCATGGCTTGATAAGCGGTGTATAGGTCTGTGACCAGGATCCGAACCAGCAAACCCCGGGCCGCCAAAGCAGAGAGTGTGAACTGAACTGCTACACCACGGGGCCAGCCCCTTGATTTTAGTATTTTTATTCTTTATGTTTGTAAGATTATCTAAGAACTCTAAGTCACAATGAATTTCTTCTGTGTTCTCTTCTAAAAATTTTATGGATTTACTTTTTACATTTAAATCTATGCTTCATTTTATTTTAATCTTCTAATAAGTGGTGAATTTTAGTTCAGTGTTCACTATTTGACTATTCTTGCTCAAGTGTTCTGGCACCATTTGTTGAAAAGACTATAAATCCTGCTTAAATTGTTTTGCACCAATATTTCTGGGCTCTCTATTCTGTACCACTGATCTATATATCTAACTCTCTGCTAATCGCACACAGTCTTCGTTATTGTAGCTACACAGTAAGACTTAAAATTGGGTATTGTGGTCCAGTTCTATCCCTTTGCGTGTAGACATCCAGTTTTATCAACACTATTTGCTGAAGAGGTTCTCCTTTACCATAGTGTATTTTTACACTTTTAAAAATAATACAGCCATGGACTAGAGTGACTATTAAAAAGGTAAATAATAACAATTGTCAGTGAGGATGTAGAGGAAACGGAATCCTCATGCATTACTGGTGGAATGTGAGAAGGTACAGCCGCTTTGCAAAATGGATTGATAGGTTCTCAGTCAATTCAGCATAAACCTACAGTTGAGCCATCCATTCTACTTCTACATGATTTCCCAAGAAAAATGAAAAAGCAGGTCCATAAAAATCCTGTACTACAATGTTCAGAACATCATGTTTCTTAATCGCCAAAAAGTGGTAACAATCCCAAACTATGTAAACTAGTGAATAAATAAACAAAATGTGGCCATTCAATACAACGCGGAATACTATTAAACATTAACAAGCAATGAACTACTACTGATATATGCTCCAGTGTGAATCAACCAAAAGAATATAAGTGAAAGAAGCAGATCGAAAAAAACATATTGCTTCATTCTCCTTATATAAAAGGTCCAGAGAAGGCAAGACAAGAGGAATGGAATATACATGAGTGGTTGCCTGGGGTTGGAAGTGGGAAGAGGGCATGAGCTCCAAGGGCAAGAAGGACATTTTCTGGGTAATGTAAACAGTCTACATTTGAATTGTGGTGGGGGTTGTTGTTGTCTCTATATGTGAGTGTGTGTATGTGTGTTTGTGTATGTATATATTAATTACCGTGTTATACCTAAAACTGATTAATTTTTGGTACATAAATATCCCAACAAAGTGGTTTTTCAAAAGGACAAAATATCACATTTTCTGTCCAAACTCCCTTTCATTACCAAAATGTCAGGTTCAAAATATTGTTGAGTTTCCTGTGTCTCATTTTCACTTGCTCTAAAATGTAGAGCCGCTGTCTACCTAACAAGAAGCTCAGGAGAGCAAAGTCAGATAACATGTGGGAAGCTGTTTCAGAGCTTTTGTGCAGAACACTCATGCAGTGAAGGAGCATTTCCATTCGTTGGTGCATAACAACTTTAATCAGTACATTTCAATTCCTAGGGAAGAGTGACTCTCTCTGCTTTTGCTCACCATCTTGCTTCTAGCATTGGACATAGGGCATGACACAGAGTAGGCCTTTAATTAAGTGGAAAAAAGAAAAAAGAATACACAAATGAGTATATCAGCGTTTATTCTAGAGTTTTTTTGAAGCCATTTACAAAAAGAAAAGGCGATGCAATTGACTAAAAGTCTGTTTATAATGTTCTGCAAATTAAGGTTCTACTGGATACTTGCCTTCAGAGGCATATTAGAGATGCAACACGATTTAATAGTCACCCCCCTGTGATTGCTTTTTAGATATAAAAGCATTCATTGAAAAGAACAGTATGCCTGGCATAGTATACGTCATAGATTTCTAGTTGTCATCCAAGAGTCAATCCACATTTCTGCCATTACATTCAAAGTTTGAATGAGCCTTGGGACACACAGCTAAAGCCCTCTTCTGGTGGCTGGCAGGTGGTGACTAATGGAGAGACATCTCACTTGGACATAATAAAAGAAGTCCTAAGTCAATGAAGGCACTGTTGCCTGCCATCCCAGGACCACCCATCTACCTCTCAACTGATTTACGACCAAGAATGAAAAGCATATAAGTTTTTTCCAAATCTCATAAATCTTAGCTTATCTTTCTATAGATTCACATTCATTCAAGTATAGACGGATCCTAGGTCTTAGAGGCGAAGCCAGTGTTCCCTAAGATCCATGATCATAATATAACCTGCGGTGCTTGTTGGATTTTCAGTTTCTGCAAAACCTCTCCTGCAGGTTCTGAACCTTTAGAACACAGAGAATCCAAGTCATCAGCCCTTTTTGAACACCTATGTAATGAACTATTGGGTCACTTTAGGAAAATCTCTCTTTGGTTATACGTATCAAAAATGTGTGTATGTCTTAACTCATTACCCAACCTAATAAACAAGGGCATTGTGATAAATATAAGGACATGTAACATTTTATCAAGAAAAATATTTAGGATTTCAAATTGTATTAGGTTTACATTATTAAACATGCAATTAAGATACTAGTTTTTCAAACTGTCATGGAAAAATTGAACATAGAGAATAGAAAT